CCTGGGGGGGATATTTCACTAGCTCCTGAGGCACCCCATCTGTTTTCAGACAGCTCTCACTTTTTGAAAGTTTTTCTTTACATTAATCCTAAACCTGTCTCTGTAAATTCTACCTAGACAGCAATCATGTCCCTTCTCTCATCCCACACCTTCTCTTCTCCAAGCTATGCCAGTTCCTTCGTTTGATTCTCATGTGGCATGAGGATTCAGTCCTTTCACCATCCTGGGCACCCTCTTCTGGAAATTTTCCAGTTAAAATTCTTCCTTCCCCTCCCTCCTTCTACAGGTTTACTCCCCACTACTGGGACATCCTTGGCCAGGCTGAGACGGGCCAGGTGAGGGCCAAGAACAGGTCCAAGCTCGCACATAGGGAGAACATGTCAGCTGGGAGGGTGCGGCCTGGGCTCCAGGCCAGGAGAGCCAGTGGGGCACCAGCCACAACCCAAATGGTTTGTGGGTGGGGAAGCAGCTTGCTACAAGGAACCTTAGGACCCAAACACACCTCTGAGTTTATAGCTTTGGGGCCTTTCTCTACTGCCAGTGAAGAGAGGACGGGGAAAACAAAAGGATTTGTGTTTGAGGGTAGGAATGTATATGAATGACTTCAAAGAGGAGGTGTTCCCCCTACCCCTGCCCCATTTCAGATAGAAAACCCAAGATCCAAAGAAAAAGGAGGTGCTGTGTCAGGCTAGAAAATAAACTGGAAAGAGGTCCCAGTCTCTGGTCCCAAAGTCTTCCTTGGTGATCCCAGTTTAGTGTCCCTTGAGTCCCTGGAGGGCTGAATAGGCAGGAAGATGATTCAGCTCTGGATCTGACTAATGCCTTTTTCCTGGGGCCTACTAGGTCAGGAGGTAGATGGGATAAGTACTCAGAGCGGCCTAAATAAACCTAGAGGATTCAGTCAACTCTCAATTATCTGCATGTGACTCATCCACTTTGTGGGTCACCTCCTAATGCTGCCAAACTGGCATGCGCTCAAGAAGTGCAGTATAAGCATCTTACCAAGCAATAGGACAGGATAAACATGACTTATGAAAGCCGAGGGGCACCATATAAGCCTCAAAGAAATGATGTTAGGGTCATTGCCTGCTTAGGACTACACATATCTCAATATTGGTGCGGACAAATAGAGACTCAGCTGTATTTTCATCGTTCCTCAAATTGGACTTGCCCACATTACCTATCGTTCTCCTATTCCACCCCATAACCTTCCTTGGGTAGGCAAGCATTGGGTTCACTTGCCTTTCAAGTTCCCTATTCCACTCTAATGACTTCCTTTGTCCCATACCTGTGTTCTCCCCATGACTCTCCCAAAGGACTCTCTGCCTGGAGGGAGGCTCCTCATTCGGAAGGCCCCCTGCCGGTCTAGTGAATGTGGACGGGCACTACGTAACCGTGCCCGCTCATGCCACCACTTGAGTTCCTCTGATACAGCTGCTTTGCTGAGTCCCCGGCTTGCAGGGCTGTCCTTCAAGGAAGGTGTCCTCACAATCCGGCTGTGAGAGGGCACTAGTCGTTGGTAGCGCAGAGGGGTTCCATCTTCATCATAGATAGTGCCAGGTCCCAGGTGGCAAAGCTCCCATCCAGCGGGCAAGTATTGCCTGTCAGCCACCATTACATACCGCCCTGCTGGGAAATATCCAGATGGGGGCAGCAGCTTAGGATAATAAGCTGCCAGCTCTCGTCCATCAGCTGAGACCCAGGTTCTCCGGGAACAAAGCTGGTCAGATGGGGACATGGGCCGCAAGAAGATGTCTGGGCTGCTACTGCCTGGAGAGGTAGCATGAGAAATGCTGGAGACATCAGAGCTGCTGTCTTCAGAGCCAGAGAGGCAGGCAGGGTGGGGCAGGGGATGTTTTGCTGAAGGGAAGCAGGAGTCAGGCACAGTCACTGTATAGTGTGTGGGACGCCGGCGAGGGATGGCACTTCGGCCACGGCCTTCTGGGCACACCCGGAAGGAATCTACCCTGAAGGGAGAAAGAAGACACCAACTCAGCCCCGGATCTCAGAAACAGGTGAGGACAAAGCAAGAGAAAGCTAGAAACATTAATTTGGGGGAAGAGATAGAAAGGGTCATTTGTCAAGGGAACTAACTCTCAACTTCCTTCTTTCCACCACATTCCCATTCATGTGGGCTCAAAAACTCAAAGATCACCTTTGAATATTCCTTCAGCCTTATCCCCTATATCCAAAGTTGCTACATCTGTATTTCCTCTCTCCTCAATATCTCTTACATCCCTCCTTTCTCGACTTCCATTGCCACCACCTCCGTTCAGTCCCTCATCATCTCTTGCCTGGATTATTCCAAAGGCCTCCTAATTGATCTCCCTGCCACCCACATCTCCTTTCTCCAGTCTGTTCTTCACACAGCTGATAATCTTGTGTATGGGAACAGACTATGTTACTCCACTACTCAAAAATCTTCCTATTGTGCCTTCCTCTTGCCTCTAAGATAAAATGCAAACTCAGCCTGACATTTCAAGGGCCTCCACAGTCTGGCTCCAATTAATCAATCAATCATTCAACAAGCACTTATTAAGTGCTTACTATGTGCCAGGCATTATGGGGGTAACAAAGCAAAAGCGATCCCTGCCCTCAGGGAGCTTGCATTCAGATGGGAGACAATATAGTGACAAATCTACCTTTATAGCTTCATTTCATAATATTTTCTTATACTCATGTTTCAGCCAAAGAGAACTATTAGCCTTTTTTTTTTTAAATTCTGCCCTGTCATCTTTGTGTTTTCCTAGAGACCAATCTCCATTTCTGAAATACAATCCCTTTGATATCCCTACCTTTTGTAAACTTTGTCTTCCTTCAAGCCCTTCCCAGGTACTAGCTCCTCCTCTATGAAGCCTTCCTTGATTTCCCCTCAACCTGAAAGTTTTCTCTCCCTCCCCACTCAGATTTCCTTAAATCACTTTGTCCAGGCCTTTCCTTTGCCCTTATCACACTCTGCCTTGGAGCAGAGTTTATTAGTACACAAGACTTATTCTCCTTTAGTGGGTATACTTACCCACTAATGGGTCAAAGATGTCAAAGACCTCCTATCCTCCGTAACGTTCCCAGTGCCTAATACGATGCCTAGCACTTAGCAGGTGCTTAATAAATGTCTGGCTGCTTCAAGAGCTGTATCCCAAAGAGATCATCAAAATGGGAAAAGGACCCACATGTACAAAAATATGTATAGCAGCTCCTTTTGTAGTGGCCAAGAATTGGAAATTGAGGGAATGCCCATCAATTGGGGAATGGTTGAACAAGTTGTGGTATATGAATGTAATGGAATACTATGGTGCTATAAGAAATGATGAGCAGGCAGACATCAGAAAAACCTGGAAAGACATGTATGGACTTGTGCTGAGTGAAGTGAGCAGAACCAGGAGAACATTGTACACAGTAACAGCTATGTTGTGCGATGATTAACTTTGATAGACTTAGCCTTTCTTAGCAATGCAAGGATCTAAGACATTTCCAAAAGTCTCATGATGGAAAATGCTGTCCACATCCAAAGAATGAACTACGGAGTTTGAATGCAGATCGAAGCATACTATTTGCCATTTTTTTTCTTCTGTTTTGTTTTGTTTCTTCTTTCTTGTGGTTCCTCCTATTGGTTCTAATTCTTCCTTAAAACACGACTAATGTGAACATATGTTTAATAGGAATGTATATGTAAAGCCTGTATCAGATTGTGCGCCATCTTGGGGAGGGAGGGGTAGAAAAATTTAAAACTCAAAAGCTTAAGGAAGTGAATGTTGATAAATCAAAATAAATTAATGAAAAAAATTTTTAAAAATATTTGGCTAATTGAATTGTGCCCAGGGAGGTAGATGGGCCACCTAGGTCAGAAGTCTGTACAGAGAAAGCCAGTGAACTCGAGGTCTTCACCCCAACTGCCTCTAGTCTCTTATCTAAGGATACTCAGAGGCAGCAATGAATAGAAGGTCATAGAATGCCTGGACTTGTGGTTAGGAAGAACCGGAATTGAATCCCACCTCAGATCCTTCCTATCTGTGTGAACGCGGGCAAGTCACAGAAGTTCTCAGAACCTCAGTTTCCTCATCTGTAAAATGCAAATGAATCTACCGTGTCCTTAACACCCCCCCCCCCCCACAGGTCTGCTCGTCAAAATGATTAATAAGTGGAGGCTCAAATAAAACAATGAATGTAAAGAGTTTTGCAAATCCCCAAAAGAGTTCTATAAATGGAAGCCCAGTCCCTGGGACTCATTACCTTAGAGAGTGAGACTGCCCCCGTCTCCCCTGAATCTCTGGGGTAGCAGGGGCACTCGCCCGGCCTTGAACTTGTCCAGGAATATTTCGGAGTGGGACCATGTGATTTGCAGGTGCATCCAGCACCCAGGAGCTGAGGGAGCTTGGTCCATCCTGGGGTGTCGTGGCTGGGCTGCTGCAGAGAGAGGAGAAGGGTAAGAAGGGAGAATTTTCCCATGGGCTTGGAGTTTTGTTTTGTTTTTTGGTTGTTTTTCCTTTGGGAGCACAGGTTTGAGTCTGAGATAGAGGTTAATGTGGAAAGAAGCAAAAATGAGCTTGTGTTCAGTGGGGAATACATTTCTACTTCTGGGCAAGAGGTGGAGAGAGCCCAGTCACACTGACCAAAGAGCCGAAGTCACTCATCCCTTTCCCACCTTTTCTATACCCCCTTCCCACCACCCTTTCCTCCAGACGCCGGGACCTCCAATCCCCCAACGCCTCTACCTGGACTCGCTATCCAGTTCTGAGGGAGATTTCTTGGGTTTCTCATAGGGATGATCCAGGCTTGTCTCCTTCCAGGGGCTGTTCTGGATTGGAGAGCGCTCTGGACCCCCAGCCTCAGGCCCTGCTGGCTTCAGCCCCTCCAGTCGCTGGGGCGGGAGTGACCTGGTAGGCGGTGCCGGGGACTCTGGAACAGGTTTTGACAACTGGGATTCTTCTGCAAATGGAGAAGAAAGACAGTAAGGGTGGCTGGTGGGTGAACCAGCCCAGCAGGAACCAAGCTGCTTGTTCTGTGCCTCTCCTCTCCTCTCCTCCCAAGGCCAACACCAATTGCCCCAGGGGTTCTCTCTGGTCACAGACATCAATGAATGGCACCAGATCCCTTGGGTCTCTAAGCCAGCCTCCCCCAGGAAGCCCTCCCAGGTGAACCATACCACACAACCCATTTCTCCACTCAAGGTGTATCTTGGCACCTGCAGCGCTGGCTGCCAACCTTCTAGTTATTATCTTTCCTTGACATGTTTTTCTAGCACGTGGTTTCTATATTCTGGAGGCCTCAGAAGGTTCTGTGCCTTCTCTGTGGATGATCCTTAGGCCCTCCTCAATTCCAGGCTTGCAAGGAAAAGGTGCCTCAATGGTGTTTTGTCTCTTCCTATCACTGCCTAGCTATGTTCCTGAGCCACGCTCCAGAGGCCAAAAAAGTTATACTCAGCTCTAAAGAGGAGATTTTGAACAGCAGAATCCTCAGTGACTCTGGCTGGTTCACTGTGGGAAAATCCCCAGAATGTGTCTCCCTTCTTCCCCAAGGGTGAAACTCTTCTCAGGGGCCTGGACTGTCTCTTCCTTGCCCTCAGGGTCTCTGGCTGACAAGTCTGGAATTTATCTCCCCACTGGGGTCATCTGGCTCCCAGGCTCAGGAACTCCTGGGCCGAAGCTGACTCAGCTCTCCACCACCATTCCTCTGCATTTGTTGTGGGAAGCTGGAGCAGGGAACTTGGCACAGGCAAATAGGTCATTTATCCCACCTAGGCCTGTGCCCAGGCAAGAGAGAGGTTTCTCTACTAAGGGCCAGGCTAAGAAACCTAGCTTTGATTCAACAAACTTATTAATTGTGGTACAGTTAAAAGTCATTGTTTCTGGGCAGGTAGGTGGCACAGTGAATAGAGAGCACCGGCCCTGGAGTCAGGAGGACCTGAGTTCAAATCCGACCTCAGACACTTGATACTAGCTGTGTGACCCTAAGCAAGTCACTTGGGGTCATTGCCTAGCCCAAAAAAAAAAAATCATTCTCTGGAGTCAGACAATCTGGGCTCAAATCACACCACTCTATGACTTTGGGCAAATCATTTAACCTCACTGGGTCTCATTTTCCTCATCTGTAAAATAAGGGTGTTAGACTAATTGGCCTCTAGGGATCTTCTCTAAAGCATCCCTGCCCTCAGGGTGCTTCAAATCTAACACTGATGATGTGGGTACAAATATGTATAATACAAAGCAGAATGTGATGGGCACAAAGGAGTGATCCAGATAAAATGCTCTAGGAAAATTCAAAGGGGGTGAAATCACTATGAGCAGAATTCTGGAACTAAGGAGTTCTGCCTCTCTGCTCTGCCTAAGATATTTTATACAAAATTTCCCCTTATCTTGCCTAGGCTGAAAGTGTAGCAACCATCCCCAAAGCTGACTGGTACAAAAGGTTAGGCCTGCTCTGTCTTTCTAACCTGAGCTAGTCTGACTGTCTTTAGGCAGTTTGGTGGTCCTCCATTCCTAGGGGCTCACCATTCTGGTATCAGACTTAGTGAAAACACCTGATCAGCTTTACCCCTACTGCATCCTAGAACTCCCCTGACCTCAGCCTCAGCCTCCCTCAGGAGCAAGAATTACAGGTCTGTACCACCATGTCCTGGAGCAGCTAGGTGGTACAGTGTACCAAGCCTAGAGTCAGGAAGACTCATCTTCCTGCCTCAGACACTTACTAGCTGTGTGACTTTGAGCAAGTCACTTAACCCTGTTTGCCTCAGCTCCTCATCTATAAAATGTGCTGGAGAAGGAAATGACAAAACCATTCCAATATCTTTGCCAAGAAAACCCCAAATGGAGTCCCAAAGAGTTGACACGATTGAAATGACCAAACAGTAACCCCCCCCCCAAAAAAACACCGCCATGCCCAGAAAGTTTATACATCTTTACTTGACACGTGAGGATCAACGGAGGCCTTTGCTAAGCTTCTCAGGGAATGGGGAGACGGGAGCTCCTGAGCTACGGAGAGCTACCTTCATTGGGGCACTCCCATCTAACTCCATTTCCCAAACAGCCTCACTTACCTTCTTCCAATAGCACCGCATCTGACAGGGAGCTGTCATCAGAAGTGCTCAGCTCTGGAGAAGAGAAAAGAAATGGGGTTGGGAGGGGGGCAGATGAGGTCATCAGCAGGCACAGGGAAGTTTGGGATTTGGAGACTGGCAGACTTCCATCCTCTACCTCCAGGCAATCGTGTTTGGTAGTTACAAAACGTTGACTGCATGCTAAGCACTATAGACGAGGTAAAGAAAGGCAGTGTGGCCCAGTGGAAAGAGCCCTGAATTTGGAGTCAGAGACCCAAGTTTAAACATGGCTCTGCTCCTTACTGAACAGGTGTTCATGGGGAAATTATTTTTCCGTCCTGAATCTCAGTTTCTACACCTTTAAAATAAAGGTGTTTGGAGTGGATAATAAAAAGGAAAGGAAGAAAGCAAAAAACTGCCATTTCTATACTGCTTTGAGGTTTGCAAAACACTCTATAACAACTCCGTGAAGGGTATGCAAGCATTATTACAGATGGGGTAAACTTGGGGCTCTGAAAGGTTAATAAATGATTTGCCCATTACAACCAAAAGGTCCCTTCAAACTCTAAGTCCCATGATCCTCAGGCTCCCTTCCCCCTCTGAATCCACCAAAGCCTCTGGGCTCTAAGAGGAAGTCTCCTCACATGGCCCCTGCGGTGATCCCAGCTTATTATGCAGGACTGATACAATTATGTTTCCAAAATGAAATTATTGCACTATAATGAGGCCATTGCTTTGCCTCAAAGAACTTTCCAGTTATTAACTTCTTATTAATTTTGCTACTTCCTCCTTCCTAGAAGAGCTCATTCAGAAGGGTTCTTCCTTTTACCTACTCTGTGAAGGTAAGGAAGGGCTTCCTTGGGATAGGAACACCAAGACCCCACATTTGGAGGCCAAGAATGGGGCTGGAAATTGAAAAGTAGAGGAAAATATCACAGGATTTAGAACCAGAAGGATTTAGAGAGCATCGTTTGGTCCTATTTCCTCATTTTACTACAGATGAAGAATCTGACTTATTAATAATAATAATGATAATAACAACTAGTATTTATATAACTCTTTAAGGTTTACATGTTATCTCATTTCATTCTCAAAATAACCCTATGAGGTATCAGCTCTTATCACCCCCATAGATGAGGAAACTGAGGCTGAGAAAGGCTAAATGATTACATGACTAAGTAATTATCTGAGGCAAGATTAAAACTCAGGTCTTCCTGACTCCAAGACCAACATTATAGCACCTTCCCTTAACAGAGGCTTGACTCGGCCAAGATGGTACAGCTAGGAGGGATCAAAGCCAGGATATGAACCCAGGTGCTCTGACTCCAAATCAGGTGTACTTTCCACTATCACACAATTTAACTCAACTACCATTTAATAAATGCTAACTATGTGTATCACACTATGCTAGTGTTGGACATACAAAGTCTAAAAAAACAGCTGATGTCCTCAGGGAGCTTATATTTTACTGAGGGAGGGAGCAAGATGCTGATACAACCTGTACCAGATAAGGCAATAATATCTGTAAAGTGCTTAGCACAGTGCCAGGCACACTGTAGGCTCCGTGGGAATTCATAATAATGATGATGATAGCAGCTAGAAACGACACCTCTGAAAGGTTCATAAATGATTTGCCCAATACAATCAATAAGGTTAGGAAGGTTAGCTGCTATCATTATTATTATTGTAATTATTACTATTATTATTTTAGGAGGCAGAAAGCAACGACGTCTGAGAAAATCAAGAAAGTTGGGAATCAGACAGAAGGGGGCACCCAAGCTAGAACTCAGGACTGCTTCAAAGAAAGACCAAGGCAAGGACAGAGTGCCTTGGAAACATAGGTTGCAGCCTGGAAGAGATGGAATGTCCAGTCTGGGGAAGAGCAAGTGAGCCTGTTTTCCTGGAATGCAGAGTTGGAGAAGACAAATAGTACAAAATAAGGGGGACTGTGAGGGGCTTTAAATGCCAGTCTGCATTCTCTCCTAGAAGAGATAGAGGCCCACTGAAGAGTTTTGAGTGGAGAGTGCCATGATCAACCCTGCGCCTTAGGGAAGGTATTTTGGCAGCTAGAGGGAGGTTGGTTTGGTAGAGAAAGAGACTGGGAGCAGAAAGACCAATTAGGAGGCTGTAGCAATAATTCAGGCAAGAGAGGACATTGGCTGCCTGAGCAGAGCTACCTCCAGAGTTCTTACCCCTGTCCTGGCAGTGGAACCCTAGAGCCACAGGATCCTTGTCCCCAATTTAAAAAGTGGGAAAAAGTGGCCATCTCAGCTTTTCCCCCACCCCCAATCTCCAATGAGCACCCCAGAGACAGGTTTCTTGATAACCTTTTGACTCCCACAGTGAGTTAAGTCAAAACTACCACCTATCTCCACCCTAGCACCCGGGCCATGTCCTAACCTGCTTTCCACTCTTGAAGAGGGGACATCAGCAGGCATGGTGGACACCCTCCTTCTACTGCTTCAGGCTTCTGTTGTCACAGCCTGGACATGGTGTCTAGGAGCTCCAGGTCCAGCTGGCAATGAGAGGCCTTCTGCTCAAGCAGCCTGGAGCCATCAAAGGGACTAGAAATGGACCCGAGAAAGGGAGACCAGAGCCAAAGAGTGTGATCTACCCACCCCCTAGGCCTCACTCATACTCCTTACTCTCTAAACTAAATGCCCTTGGGCAATTTCAGGCCCCTAGCCGGCAACAGGCTTTTGAAGGGGGAGAAAACAAGTTCCCAGGAATGACAGATGGGGCCAAGATGATATCATCTTTCCTTATTGCTTTCCCAGGTCTGTGACCCTCCTTTTTATCACCTGCTTCCTCACAAAGAGTGACTGGCACCCCAAAGCTTCCACTCCCTATCTACGCAACCATGGGTGTACCGTTCTCATTCTCATATCTTCAACTTCCTCAACTATAAAACAGGGAAGTTGGATAAGATGGTCTCAGAGGTCTCAAATACGCCCTAGGGTTCTACAATTTGGGAATATTGACTTTAGCCAAGCCCTGAGCCATGCCCTTCCCCTTCAATCCAAGAACACTGACCTTCTGGCTGTTCTGCAAACAAGACATTCTATCTCTCAGCTCTGGGCAATCTTTCTGCCTGCTCTCCAGGTCTGGAACACTTTCTCCCCTCAACTCTGCCTACTGACTTCCCTGGCTTCTTTTAAGTCCCAACTAAAATCCCACCTTGTACAGGAAGTCTCTCCCCATCCCTCTTTCCCCCATCCAATTCCAGTGCTTTCCTTCTTTTAGTTATTTGCTATTTATCCTAGGTGATATCCTAGGTGATATCCTAGGGCAGCGAGGTGACATAGTGGCTTGGAGTCAGGAAGACCTGAGCTCAAATCTGACCTCAGACACTTAGTAGCTGTAGGACCCTAGGGCAAGTCACTTAACCCTGTTTGCCTCAGCTTCCTCACCTATAAAATGAGCTGAAGAAGGAAATGGTAAATCACTCCAGTATCTCTGCCAAGAAAACCCCAATGGGTCACACAGAGCTGAGCAAACAACAAAATCTGTCCTGTAAATGGCTTGCTTTGCATACATTTGTTTGTTTGTTGTTTCATGACTGTAATCTCCTTGAGGGCAGGGATCATCTTTTCCCTCTTTTTGTATCCCTGGCACTTTGTATCCCAATCTCTGGCCCGTGGCAGGTGCTTAACAAATGATTATTGAATGAATGAATAAAAAGGTCTGGCTATTTAGCTCTAGAGGGCAACTCGAGCACCTTTATCTAATGAGCCAAAAGTCATTTTAACTCAAGTCCTTTCCTGTTCTCACCATTTTTCTCTGCTTGGGTTCCTAAAGTTGACTTGGGAGGAATCTGGAAACTATCTTTCAACTCCCAATAGACATTTCCAGGGATGAGGAAGCAGTGGGCAGAAGGATGCAACAACCCCTTTTGGGGGGGGGGAGTAGAGTGGTGTAGCCAGGGACCAGGAAGAGCCTAAGATGTCTAATGATATATATACTCTCACAAGAGGATTCTAGTCCTTCCAGATAAAGAAGGGCTAGGATAGCTCAGGTATGAAAGCAGCAAAGACTTCTAGTCCAAGCCCAGGTCCAAACTCTGCTTGGCCTCAATTTATTAATCCCCAGCCCAGAGAGCTCCCAGGCATAATTAATATCTGAGAACTGCCAAACTAAGTGGTACTTTATGAAGCCAGAACAGAGGAAGAAGAGAAACCAGTAACCTCCTATGTGCCAGGAAGCTAAAGATTGGGCTCTCTCCACTGGGGGAATAGGGTGGGGTGAGAGAAAAAGGCCATGGTTGGACAGCTGGCTTGGAGAGAGCACCCAGTCAAATCCAAGGTTTCAGATGATTAAGGGTTAAAACCACAGTGGAAGGTTTCCAGGGCAGGGTCTTCTATGGTGAGCAGACAGGCCCTGCGTACTATCAATTTGCTGTGCGCTCTAGAGACACATAATAGCAGTGCCCACTTTGACCTCTGCCCTGGGAGTTGAGTAACTGGACAAAAGGCCAGAAGGTAGCAGATATTTCACTCTCTTGATCAGGACATTAGAAACTCAAGAGTAGAAAAGATTAACTGGGAGTAATTAGTATTAGAGAAGAAGAGTAATCAGGATGTTCTCATTAAGCTTCTGGAGGAGTAGTCTCTCCCCCCCATGCCCTGTAATAGTGGGGAGGCTGGGTTTTAGGTAGCAGGGTTAGTAATCCTGGCAGCCCTGTCGACTCCATAGGAAGGATGCCCCATTCGGGAACCTCAAGGTCCAGCCCTCCTGGCCAGAAGGGCCAAGAGTTGAGAGCACACACCATCTAGGCCTGAAGTCAGGGGGTCCCTGCCAAGGCCAGGTCTACTCACCTCCCCTGAGCATGGTGGCAGGAGAAAGGGGTGTACACCCACTACTGAGCCTCCGTTCGTTAAGGCTGTGTTCTAGCTCCCGAAGCTTCTTCTCCTCTTGCAGCACCGCATGCTTCCTCCGTCTTCGGATCTGCTTGGTGAGGTTCTCCTCTTTGTACAGACGACGGGCCGCCTCTGCAATCTGTAGCTGTAGCGCCAGCTCCTGCTCCAGGTTGCTCAGAGGGTCCTGGGCAGGGGTCATGGAGACAAAGTCAGCACAGATGAGGGTGAGTACAGATACCACAAGTGGGCTAATTGTGTTTCCATTAGATTGGGAATTCCTGTGGGCTAACATTGTGTCAAAGAATCATAGATGTAGAGCTGTAAAAGGCCCTAAAGACCATTGGGGTTAGGCCAACCCCCTCATTTTATGATGAGGCCCAGGGAAGTCATGCAGTTAGCACATCCCTGAAGAGGGATTTGAACTCAGGTGTTCCTGACTCCAAGTCCAGTGCCCTATTTACTATGCCATAATGCCTCTCATCAGGCCTGGAGATCTTTGTGGGCAGTGATTATGTCTCCTCTATCAAGCTTCTACCTCTCCAAAAGGTAGAGACCACATCTCATTCAAGAGCATGCCCTGCACAAGGTGTTCGGACCACAGGTAAAATCTGACTTTAAAGAAGAGAGAAGTCTCCCTTCCCTTGCCCCTCCCTTGAAAGGCAGGGAGAGAAGACCAAAGTCTACAGAGATGTAGGGCAAAGGGAGGGGAAATTTCCAAGGCTGAACCAGAGCCACCTCCTTGATCAGGAAAAGTCAGCACCAAGACCCACCCATCAGACACACGTGGGGATGGGCAGTCTCAACTAGCAGGCCAGAAGGTGTTGTCCCAACTTCCCACCCAGCTTGCTAAGTGGGACACTTTCTCTCTCGACTTTGTTGGGCCAGAGCCACTGGGGTGGCTGCCAAGTGGAAACCTGCTAAAGTCTGTTCCCAAAGTATTAGAGAAAGTCAAAGACCTAGGCCTAGGCTTTAGGCCTCCTGGTCAGCTTCTCAGTCCATAAGACAGTCTGTCTTGGTCTGCAGCAGACCCAAGGAACTTTAGCTTTCAGTCTCAAGACTTTCACTCATCACTATTTTCTAAACCTTCACTTATCTCTGAACTATAACTCAAAGCACCATTCCCTGCCAGCTAGGCTCTAAAATCTACTACACCTAAATCCTAATTACTTCCCTTCTCCCTTCTGCTATCGACTCTGCCTCTTGGATCTAGTTTTATCATCCATTTCCTTCTTTCCTTTTGACCCTGTTTCTACATGCCCCAGACCATTCCTTCGCATATTGGGGGGTTTATTTACAAGGGAAAAGGGAATAGACAAATCCAGAAATAATACACCAGGGTAATAAGGTAATTAGAAATATAAATAAAGACATCTATCCAGTCCCAGACTGAGTGGCACCAAAGCTTTCAGAATTTCCCTAGCCCAAGCTTGGCCTTGATTCTCTCTAGGCTAGGAGGCTTTATTTCCCAGTGGGCCCCTGGAGGAGAAAGTTTCCAGAATGCCCTGGGCATGTTGGATTAAGCTCATTTGCCTATTCTGCAATCCCTGGATCATTTTCAACCAATTAGCCAGACTGAATAGACTTTTGTTTTTCCATGCAATACTCCAGAATCACTTAGTCAACTAGATAAGGGAATTGTGTTTTCTGATCTACGGAACACAAGGAAATGCAGTAAGCAAAGTGTTCCTATCACCTTAAAAATCAGAATATTCAACCCAACACATAGCTTTCACCCAAAGCTCACAAAAGACCATGCTTCCTTCAGGGGCCAAGGTCCTATCCCTTGTGTCCCGCGCCAAGGAAAAGCAGGCCACAGCACGGTACCATAGGTACCCGGGCCTGGGATTTGATCTTCTGTCCACTAGGGAAGGTGACAAATGCCTCATAGCCTTGATTATCTCTCAAGGAAAGACCAGCCCCCAGAGTGATTTTGCTTCTCACCTCTCTTCGGAAGGTCTGTTCATCCAGTCTGTAAGCTGCTCCGATCCTTCGGCGCACCTTGGGGGCCTTTTCTCCTGGTTTGAGGGGATACTCCTTTGGCAGTGTGCCGGTCAGCTCCTGAAACAGGAGACGGCTGTAGGCCAGAGCCCTCTCTGCACCCGCCCCTCCCATTATCCTCCCCTTGGCTGATCTCTTCCCCTTCTTTTCCTCCAAACTCTCTACCCACCCCCTTATTTCTCGGCCACCTCCCCTGGACAAGGGAGAGAGAGCACTCACTGCTTCTCGAAGACATAGTCTCTTTAACTCCTCCAGACATAACTCTAGACGTTCCTCCAGCGCTCTCTGCTGCTTTCGCATGGCATGGGTCAGCTCCTTCATTGGGGAAATTGGGCTGTCAGGGCCTAGATGGAAGGAGCAACACATAACCCATCTATATCCCTGGACTGAAGTGAGGAAAGGAAGAGTAAGGCCACTTCAGCCTCTCCCACACACCCGCCTGACCTCCCCTTGGAGAGACCACAGGCACCATTCACTCATGTACAGCACACACATGATCTGAGGATATCGGTGAGCCTGGGCCTCCTGAGTCAATACTGCTCAAAGGGCCGGGGTGAGGAAAGCTGCCCATGTCCCAGCCTGGTCCAAGAGGCACAGGAGGCAGATAAGCCTATGAAAACCTCCAGGAGAACTTCCTATCCCTCTTCCTCTGCCTCTTCCCTTCTTCTTTGCAGGAGAACAGCAGTGGAAAGAGCATTAGATTTTAGTCAGAGGAACTGGGTTCAAATCCCAGCTTTTTGACTTAGTACCTGCATGACCTTGGGCAAGTCGGTCTGGCCCTCAGTTCTATGCTTAAAATGAGGGGAGGGGTGGTCTCTTCCAGCTTTAACTCTATGCCCCTATGACTTAGCACAGCCTGTCCTACCTACCACACATATGCGTGGTTCCTTTTTAGAGGAGATAATGTACACAAAACAAGGTATACATGGCCAGTACAAGCCAAGAGATAGAACTATAAACTCCAAGAATTCCTGGGAGCTAGTGGAATCACACTCAAGATACCAAGAGGTAGTGAGAGGTCCTAAAGTCCATTCCCCTGTTTCCAACGAGAACAGCAACAACTCTAGGTCAGCCCTCCTCAAGGAAGGAGAGATCCCTTGGGTTCTGATTCCTTTCCCCAATCCTCTTATCTCCCCAGTCAGAGACTGAATCTCTTCCACTCCAACCATGAGGAATGAAGACTCAGGCAGCTGGCCTATTCCTGGGGAGGGGTTTCCCCAAGCCACTCACCAGACTGCAGAATGATGCCGCTGTCTGTGTCGCTGATCTCATCCTTGCTCTCCATGGTGGACATCCGGGGGGGCAGGGGAGACAGAGTGGAGGAGGGGAACACAGCTCCCAGCCAGGGACTTTAGGTGGCTTGGAGTTTCCCTGGCTTGGGAAAGAACAAAGAGGCCATGTCTGGACTCACCTGGGCCTGCCTAAGGGGCCAGGACCCTTTTTCCAAGCAGAAACTAATTAACAGCAGGATACTAGGGAAGGGGGGGGGAAGGGAGGAGGAGTGGAAGGGGAAAGAAAGAAGGTTTAACCCCTTGAGTGCCAACGTACACTTTCTTTGCTCTTAAAGCTCCGCTCTCAAACTGATAGTAGTGTCTTAGAAGAGAGATAAGAGAAAATAGCAAGCTCAACATCAACAAGTGAGCTCACTTGACTCTTTGTGCAGAATGAGAAATATATTTTTCGGCCATGGCCAATGTAGGAATTTGTTTTGACTGATCACGCATACTGATTACAAAGGTTCTGGTTTTGGTTTTCTTCAGGTAGAGGAGGTAGGAAGGGAAAAAATTGATTTTTGTGAATTGAAAACAATTAATTTTTTTAGATAACAAAAAAACCAAACCCTAATTACCTTTACTGCCTCTAAAATGATGTCTTATTTTCCCTAGGATGTTTCACTCTTATCTAATGTGTTCATTTTGCTCCATATTATGGGCTGATACCCTGGTGATGAATGATAGTAGAATTCCCATAATTAAGGGTAAAATGGTCCTTCTTACTAAGCTAAAGTCCAGCAATATAAAGCCTAGGATCACAAAATCTCCAAGTTAGAGGGGCCTTGAGGGGGCCCTTAGACCAACCTTTACCCCCAAAGGAATCCTCACTACCACACACCCTGAGAATAATCATCCAGCCTTTGCTAAAGGGAATTCTCTGCATCCCTGAGTGGCCCATTCCTCCTAAATCAGTTAGTCAACAAGAATTTATTAAGTGCCTACTACTCGCTAGGCCCGAAGCTAAATGCTGGAGATAACAAAGAAAGGCAAAGATAATCCCAGCCCTCAAGGAGCTCACCTTCCAATGGGACACAACAGGCACAAAAATATGTACATTAGCATTGAGAGAGACCAAGAAAGGCCTCCTGCAGAAGGTGGGATTGGAGCTGAGTCTAGAGAGAAGCAGGAGGCTGAGGTGAGAAGAAGAGTATTCCAGGCAATCCTAGAGAGCCAGGGAAAAGACTCAGGAGTTTGGAAACCGAGAAGCAGTAAGAGGGTCAGTATTGTTTGACTGGAGAGTGTATGGAGAGAAAATAAAGTGTAAGAAGATTTCCATCTCCAACTGGCCCTCCATGAGCCCATGCTGCCTCTTCTAACTCTCCCACGTGCACTTCAGCATCCTTTGTCCCTCTGAGGCCGAAACTGGTACCCAGGTGAAGGGGATGCTCAGCACTACCTACATCTGGCACCCCTTCCATGAGATGTTTGTTGGGATGGGAAGAGGATCCTTCAGAGACAAGGGTACATACATGGCCGCTGTGACGCTGCCATGTCTTCTTTTACAAAAGAGTAACAGGAAGGTCAATACAACCCACTTTGGGGCAGGTGCCCCAAGGAACTTGGGCAGGACCAGAATATGGGGCTCAATGTTGCCAAAGCCATCGCTTGGGACCCCTAAGCCTCTGTTCCTGGTTATTCAAAATTCGATGAAGAATTGAAAGACTGTGAAATGGAAGGCTGCCCACCATGCCTCAGTAGGTCTAGGGGGGATACAGTGTAGGTCAAGCTTCACTCTGGCTTGGACAAGAGCCCAAGTGTACCACCACCCCAGAATCAAGGTGGCATATGGGGGAGCTGGAAAGGATGGGCCCCTTTTTGAAACAGCTCCAGAAAGAAGGAAACTGCAGCAACTCACAACTCACATCTCCCCAGCCATTAGCAAAGTGCCTAGAGAACAGCAGGTATTTAATAAATGCTTGTGGCCCTGACTTCTACATCACTTTAGGGCTTAGAAAGCACTTTCCTCATCATAACCTTGAGAGGTAGATAGTGCAAGAGTTCTCCTGTCTCCATTTTACAAATGAGGAAGGAATCTCTGAGAAGTTATGACTGGCCTAGTTAGTTAAGCATCAGAACCACGATTTAAATTTAGGTCTCATTTATCTTTCAAATCCATTGTTCTTTTTACTATGTTTCAAATAAACTCATAGGCTATCTGAGTAGAAAGGAACCTTAACAGATATTTAATCCAACGGCCTTATTTTACAGTGAAGAAACTGAGGTACAAAAAAGGGCAGATATTTGCTTGCCTACAATCAGGAGAGAAGACCAAGTCTCCTAAAGCCCTTGCTGTTGCTACAACAAAATAAAATCATAGGTTTTAGAGTAGGAAAACCTCTTCATTTTACAGATAAGAAAACTGAGGCTGCGAAGGGAAGTGACTTGTCCAAGGTCACACAAAGTAATAAACAGAACTGGCATTGTAGTCCCTTTTCTTTCCTCCCTATTTAAATCCTCAAGAGAAAGCCTGTTGAGACCATACTAGGAACCAGGATTCCCCAGGACCATTTTTTGTTTATTTGTTTGTTTTCTGACCCCTCTTTGGGATTCCACATCACTCAAGTGTCACCAGAACATTGTGCAAGTCTATCAGTCAACTTGGAGGGATCCCGGTGCCCACCAACCTCCATAAAGCCCTGGAGGGTAAGTCCTGAATGGGGCTGCCTGAAGGGAGGGGGTGGAGCTCCTCCAAGACTGGATCCAGGGCTCAGACACCTCCTTACTGAGTCAGCATCATTGCACAAGAGTCCAAAAGTCCTTCCGAGTTTCTGTCTGGCACTTATCCTGCCTCCTCTGGGCACTTGGGGCTGTGAGGTGGAGGAGAAGGGCCCCGCCCCTTCTGCCTTCAGCAGAGCAGGTCTTAGGTGGTAAACAAGGCAGCAGGGAGAGGGTGTGAGGGACAGGAAAGAGGGAGCGGTCAGTCATTCAGTCTCTAGAAGAGTCCCCTCTTTTAACCAAGACCAAGAACAGGAGCAATACTATGGAAAAGTACAACCCATCTAACCATGGAGGCCGAGACTTCCAATAACAAACCTAAACAGCCCCACTGACCCAAAGGGTGGAATACCTGGTCAAAATTCTAACTCTGCAAAGGGAGAAGGGATGGTGGCCCTTGCCAAGTGAGTGCATAGGATATCAGTAAAAAGGTTTATGTGGTGCCAGTGTAAACAAAAGGCAGCCTGCACATATACCCTCGCTATCTCGGATTTCCTTGTTGTCAGGAACTAGGTAACTGGGAAGGAACTTTCTTCTCTCCAGCCCTTCCAAGACAGTCACCTTCATTTTTACTCTTTTGGTCTCTGTGGGGTACAAGAGTAACCACAAATTAAATGCCTTATTGATAGATCTTGAGAGCTGGAAGAGACCCCAGACCTCATCTAATCCACGCCTCTAATTTTGCAGATGGGGAAACTGAGACCCAGGAAGAATAAATCACTTACCCAATGTCAGTCAATTAATTCACAAACTTACTACGTGCTAGGCACTAAAGATACAAGGAAAAAAATGAAGCCATCCCTGCTCACAAGGAACTTACATCCTACATGCTTACAGGTGGTAAGCATGAGATGAAGGATTTGAACTCAGGTCCTCAACTTCGAATCTAGTGCTCTTTCCACTGTATCCCATGCATATGGAGCATCTGACCTTGGTTATTCAAAATTCGATGAAGAATTGAAAGAAGGACTCTGAGCATGGCGTACACTCCCATTGTCACCTGCAGCTCACCAGAAGCTTTTCTGCCCTCCTTTGGACACTTTATCTCACTTGCCAAATCTTCTCTGACCCTCCTGCTACACTAATTCCAAGAGAGGAGTACCAGGTCAGAGCTGGGCAGCTACTCACATAACCCACTTACCTAGCTCAAGGTGTTTGCCTTTGGAAAGGAAAGAGGAGATGAAGAAGAAAAAGGCAGGAGGCCCACTAATTAGTAATCCTCACTAATTAATTACATACTTCCAACTCAGCACTCCTGAGGATATTAAAGTTGTAATTCCACCTCTCCTCTCTCCCTCCTCCCCTCTTCCCCTTCGCCTTCCTCAGAGACAAGGAAGGGCAGTGACGAAGATGAAAGAAGAGAACCAAGGTGTCCCTTGCCATTCCCAGGCCATAGCCACATGCTTCACGACTCCCCACCCATGTGTCCAGCTCCTCATGCCCTCCGTGGCCCAGTTTCTCCTACTCTTCTTGCCCCAGGTGAAGAAACCCTGGGCACTAGGCATTTGTCCAAATCTGATACTGGGGCCCACAGCACCACACTGTGCCCGGCATGGTGGAGCAAGCTCCTATCCATGTAGGAGTTAGGAATCTTGGACTGGAGTCCAAGCTTTTCTTGACAACTCACTTCATCTGTAGGACTCAGTTTCCTTATCTGTAAAATGAGGGAGTTGGCCTCGATTGCCTTTTTTTTTTTTTTTTTTTTTTTTT